CGGAGCTTTGAAGGAATAAACTTACGGGGCTAAAGCTACTGTCTTGGTGGTTGTGATGGTGGCCTCAGCAGAGTGATAGTGGTGGGGTGCAGGGGTGCGTGTGTGCAGAGAGGGGGTCTTGGGTGCGGGGTCTGGAATAAAATCCCCGTCCTGCTGGTGTCCCATCCTGGGCATGTCCAGTGCAAAGCCAGTGGACCTGGGAGCTTGGTCTTCATGCAGTGACCTCCCAATTCAGAGCGGAAGAACACTGAATACCCAGCACAGCCCCCAAATTCTGGGTTTCCCTAAATCTCTAGGGCATCCACGCACTGAGAATAATCGCTTGAAAAGAGTTAATAAACCAACACTCTTTAAATTGGCCCCTGTCACACCTTTTCAGGGCTACTTATACGTGGTGCTCACCGGGCCCTTGTCTGCAAATCCATTTGGTACAGAAATACCCTCCACTGGGACTGTGAATTCTGGATGGGGTCAGAACAGCCTCCTCCAGGTGGGGCTGGGGTCCGGTGATGGAAATCCCCATGGCTGGAGGGGCTTTACTCCTCACTTCGTTGTTGGGGGGCAGGGGGCCTGAACAATCCTTCAGTGGTTTGGTTTACTTAGGGGTGACCGCACGCCGCTGCGTCTTCCTTATACCTTCTGTGTTTGGAACTGCACATAAACGGACGACGACTGAACTTCACCGGGGAGTTGTATTTCGACCAGAAGTGCGGGGGTCAGGGAAGGAGCCAGCTCTCCCTGGCAGGCAGTGATTCTGGGTCTCCCTCCCGATCGCACCAGCAGAGGGGGAACCGGCCGCAGCAGGGCTGGAGCCAAGGTCTCCAGGTGTTGCCCCACGTGTCCAGCTGCAGAGGAACCGGGCTGAGCGTCTGGCGATGCTCCTCCACGGCCCATGCGACCGTGTCCATCACCTGATAGAACAAGGGCTCCGTGTCCGGGGTGAGGGCGTGGGCTTCGGAAGGGTCTTTGGACAGGTCGAAGAGCAAAGGTGGGTCGTGATGGGCCACTTGGTCCCCGGAGCATGGGCAGACCCCTCTCCCGTAGCAGGCGCCGGCTCCCTCTGGGTGGAACACTGGGGTCATGTAGTGGACTTTCCATAGTCTTCCTCCTGAGGGAAGGACAAGAATCTCAGAGGGTTGATGGGGAGAAATAGAAGGCATTGCTGGATGAAGCCCAAATGAATGGACAAACAGATGTGGTCCATCCACGCCATGGGATGAGATTCAGCCATAAACATAAATAAAGCTCTGAGACCTGTGCATAAACCTCAAAAACGGGATGGTCAGTGAGAGAAGCCAGACACACAGGGCCACCGAGTGCGGGATCCCATTTGTATGAGACGTGCACAACAGGGAAATCCAGAGACCCGGAAAGGACATGAGTGGATGCCAGAGGCTGGGGAGGAGAATGGGGAGTGTGTGCTAATGAGGACAGGGTCTCTTTGGGGGAAGGGAAGGTTCTGGTACTAGATACAGGTGATGTTTGCACAACATGGTGAACACGCCAAATGCCCCAGAGTTGTACATTTTAAACGAGTGAATTTTACAGCGTGTGAATGTTACGGATGGAAATCGTGTCCCTCCAGAATTCATATATCACAGCCCTGACCCTCAACAGAATGGAATTGGGAGGCGGAGGCTTTGAGAGATTATCAGGTCACAACGACAGAGCCCTCAAAAACGGGATGAGTGCCCTTACAAGAGTCAGAACAGAGCTTGCTTCCCTTGTGTGTCTCCACCATGTGAGGACACAGCAAAGAAGGTGGTAGTCTACCGCCCAGCAGAAGCCCATCTAAGGATGTCCAGCCCCCGGAACTGGGAGAAATAAGTCTGTTGTTTGTAAGCCACCAGTCCCTGGTGATCTGCTAAGACTGAGTTACAGCTCCGTACCACTGTTTGCAAAGAAGGGAATTCCTCAGGTCTTAGGTAGTTCCAAGCAGGATGCTCAGAGCCTTAAAATGGCAACAGCTTTCTTTTCTTTTTTTTTTTTCTTTTTTCTTTTTTAAAGATTTTATTTATTTATTTGAGAGAGAGAATGAGAGACAGAGAGCATGAGAGGGAGGAGGGTCAGAGGGAGAAGCAGACTCTCTGCTGAGCGGGGAGCCCGATGCGGGACTCGATGCCGGGACTCCAGGAGCATGACCTGAGCCGAAGGCAGTCGCTTAACCGACTGAGCCACCCAGGCGCCCCTGGCAACAGCTTCCTCCTGAAGCTTGCTCCAAGGCTCCTGGCAGCTAGCTAGGAAGGCAGCTACAGGAAAACATCAATAGGAAAAGGAAGGGAAGGAAGGAGGAAGGAAGAAAGGAAGGAGGAAGGGCGGAGCAAGCTATAGCAAACCACCTCCAGCCTCTGGGAGGGCACCAGACTGAGCTCTGCCTCAGGAAGGGACTTTGAAAGAATGGAAGGAGGGACCATGGAGGTGCCTGCACCAGCCTCCTGCCCAGAGTTGGGTTGTGCCAACCGCACAGCCTGTCCTCCCTGGCTTCCTGCTGCTTTGGGAGGGAGGCCTCCACGCCCATCCTTTGTATCCGCCACAGGGCAGTGAGTCTGGGGAAGTCATGTGTGTAACCAGAGGGTAGAGAGCAGGATTCTGGTGGGCCTGCCTCCTCCAGGAGCAGCTCCAGGGGCAGAAAGACCAGGAAGCAGGGACAGATATGGGTCAGGATCAGGGCTGCTCCTGAGATCTAGGAAGGAGGCCAGGAAGCACAGCCCTGTGCACCTAGCAAGTGTGTGCAAAGGAGGCCATGCCTCCCTCCTTCCTACCCCCTGCCCGAGTCCTGCTTCCTGGGGTTGGCACCACTGTGCTTTGGTATTTAGAGATGTGTACCCTGTGATTAAAATCTCTGGCTTCTGTCTGCCTCTGAGCACTTATGGTGACCTAGCAGTTCCCAGCTTGCTCACCTGTGACCTGGGGAGAGCCATCTTCATCTGCCATTGTTTCCAGGGTGAAATGGAATACTATCCATCTCATGCTCATTAAGGTCACTCCTTGCTATCATAATTCAGCAAATGTGTTGAGCACAAAGAGAAGACAAAGTCTTAGTGAGGGGAAACAGGTCCGACAGTGGTAAACACACAGAAATAAGAAAATTGTGCAGTGTGGAAGATGATGGTGAAGGTGTGAGTGGGGGGGGCATGGGTGCATCATGCGGGCAATTGTTTGGGTCAAGAAAGCCTTGCTGAGAAGGCAATATTGCATTTGAATATCAAGAATGAGCCAGTCACGTAGAAGTCCTGTCCCCCTATGAGTGTTCTCAAAGATTTGGGGAGGGGCTAGCTCACAGGACAAGGAGGAATTTGGAGGAATTTGTTCTGATGTGTGTGCCGCAGGTGGTCTTGGGATGGCTTTCAGAAGGGAGCTAAGTGGATTATGCATGTAGGATAAACAGTGAATCTGTGAAGGCCAGTTAGGGTGCCACTGAAGAGGCTTGGATAATGGGAATACACTCCCCATCTACTGCCCTTGAAGAAATACGGAAGTATTCACCCAATGACTGACAGATGAGAGGTCAGTGATGGGGTAGCCACAATGTAAAAGAACAGATTTGAACACTGGACCCAGGTATTTGTGCTGCCAGGCATGCATGGATGTAGATTGAGATGTACAATGGAATGACAGTTTTTAGAAAACCCCCCAAAAGGGAAGGAAATGTGTAATACATAATTTAAAAAAATGAAAGGTAGCAATAAAAGCCTTACCAGATTACAATAATATTGAAAAGAATGGATGAAAAGGGAGGGGCATTTAAAGAAAAAAAAAAGTCAATGGTAGCTTCCTCAAATAAGGGAGTTCCCAAGAGGTATTTCTTCACTCTTGATTCAGAGGGCTAAAGACTTCTAGAGAATAGGAATGGAAAGATGAGTAAAATCACAGGGAGAATACAGCCCTTCCCAAACACTGGAGGAAAAAAGAATCACAAAACCTATGCAATCACAAAGTCACAAATCTAATCAATCCGTAGGGCAAATCCAAAAGACAGGAGAAAATACCAGGAAACGACGGAGTAATAGGGAAATAGAAATGATGAAAAGTCACTCAAATAGGTGAAAACTTTGTTATCAGAAGATAAAGTTAGCAGCAGAAATCAATTGTGTATAAAATTTAAAAATAACAGTTCTTAAGTAAATGCAAGAACTGAATTTTTAAAAGAAAAATAATCCCTAAAAACAGAAAACCTCTGGGAAAGACAGTTAGGTGAAGATGGACAATAGATTCATATAAACATGGAGGCAATTAAAATACAATGAAATTACTTGGGACAGGAACAATATGCTTGATGAAAGGAATACTTTTTAAATAAGAAGAATAAGTGGAGGGACATAACATGTTTCAGTTGGGAAAATCTGATAT